AGATGTGTGCGTGGGCCGGTGATGGAAAAAGGTGACAAAACGACTGGAGGCGCCGTGGGAGGAGATGACCTCATTATAATAAAAGGGAAAAGATGACGGGACGAGGCGCAGATCAAATTGGATGATTGGAGTAATAATATATGACAAATCCCGGAGAAACGCTCCATGATGGATCCGGGAATTCAGAGACTGACGTTTGTTTAATGACGTAATCACAACATTTCCTTCATGATTCATAATCCTCCGAATGTTAGTCATTCCACGAGGTCCTGCGGCGGACTGAGCGGAATATTATCATTTCATCGGAAAATCAGAGAATTCATTGCCTCCGGGTCATGTGATCTGTGCCGTCCAATCCGTCACATGGACTTCACAACAGATCATGTGTACTGCTTGTTGTCCAATGGACTGATTACTATACAATGTAACCGACTGATTACTATACAATGTAACCGACTGATTACTATACAATGTAACTGACTGATTACTATACAATGTAACCGACTGATTACTATACAATGTAACCGAATGATTACTATACAATGTAACCGAATGATTACTATACAATGTAACCGACTGATTACTATACAATGTAACCGACTGATTACTATACAATGTAACCGACTGATTGCTATACAATGTAACCGACTGATTACTATACAATGTAACCGACTGATTACTATACAATGTAACCGACTGATTACTATACAATGTAACCGACTGATTGCTATACAATGTAACCGACTGATTACTATACAATGTAACCGACTGATTACTATACAATGTAACCGACTGATTACTATACAATGTAACCGACTGATTGCTATACAATGTAACCGACTGATTACTATACAATGTAACCGACTGATTGCTATACAATGTAACCAACTCCTTACTATACAATGTAACCGACTGATTGCTATACAATGTAACCGACTGATTACTATACAATGTAACCGACTGATTACTATACAATGTAACCGACTGATTGCTATACAATGTAACCGACTGATTACTATACAATGTAACCGACTGATTACTATACAATGTAACCGACTGATTGCTATACAATGTAACCGACTGATTGCTATACAATGTAACCGACTGATTGCTATACAATGTAACCGACTGATTACTATACAATGTAACCGACTGATTGCTATACAATGTAACCGACTGATTACTATACAATGTAACCGACTGATTGCTATACAATGTAACCGACTGATTACTATACAATGTAACCGACTGATTGCTATACAATGTAACCGACTGATTACTATACAATGTAACCGACTGATTACTATACAATATAACCGACTGATTAATATACAATGTAACCGACTGATTACTATACAATGTAACCGACTGATTACTATACAATGTAACCGACTGATTACTATACAATGTAACCGACTGATTACTATACAATGTAACCGACTGATCACTATACAATGTAACCGACTCATTACTATACAATGTAACCGACTGATCACTATACAATGTAACCGACTCATTACCGTACAATCTCACAATATGTCAGGCAGAAGGTATGTGCGTCTAACGTTTGTTCGCCCTTTTCTCCGCAGCGATCCCCACGCTCCCACATCTGTCCATCCCACACACAATGTCTCGCTCACACAATGGATTCTGCGCAGGAACCCCGCAGCCCTCTCCTCCACCGAATTGGACGAATTCTTTATGGTGACGGGTTTTTTTGTTCGTTTTGCTCCGTCTGCCAGATGCGTGTTTTTGGCCTCCGGGGTCGTTAATTGAAGGGAAATGGTGGGAAATCGAATTCCTCGACACCCTATAAGATGATGTGATACCCTATAAAGTGTGAGGTGTTAATCCACTCGACCCGCACAATGAACGACTTATAGAGCTTCTGTACAGGAATCCAACCTCCGCACACGCCGAGAACTGCCATTTGTGAACAGAACCCCCCCCCGATGGTCATTAACCCCTCCTCTGCCACCTTCCACCGATCGATGTTTATTTCTGCAATACTGCTTATAAATCGCCCATTAACCCCTTCATGTGCAGACACTTCCCCCCCCCTTCCAGTCCGGACACTTTCCCCCCCCCTTCCGGTCCGGACACTCCCCCCCTTCCGGTCCGGACACTTTCCCCCCTTCCAGTCTGGACACTTTCCCCCCTTCCAGTCCAGACACTTTCCCCCCTTCCAGTCTGGACACTTTCCCCCCCTTCCAGTCCGGACACTTTCCCCCCCTTCCAGTCCAGACACTTTCCCCCCTTCCAGTCTGGACACTTTCCCCCCCTTCCAGTCCGGACACTTTCCCCCCCTTCCAGTCCAGACACTTTCCCCCCCTTCCAGTCCGGACACTTCCCCCCCCCCCTTCCAGTCCGGACACTTCCCCCCCCCCTTCCAGTCTGGACACTTTCACCCCCCTTCCAGTCCGGACACTTTCCCCCCCCCCTTCCAGTCTGGACACTTTCCCCCCCTTCCAGTCCGGACACACTTTCACGCCCTTCCAGTCCGGACACTTTCCCCCCCTTCCAGTCCGGACACTTTCCCCCCCTTCCAGTCCGGACACTTTCCCCCCTTCCAGTCCGGACACTTTCCCCCCTTCCAGTCCGGACACTTTCCCCCCCTTCCAGTCCGGACACTTTCCCCCCCCCCTTCCAGTCCGGACACTTTCACCCCCTTCCAGTCCGGACACTTTCACCCCCTTCCAGTCTGGACACTTTCACCCCCCCTTCCAGTCCAGACACTTTCACCCCCTTCCAGTCCGGACACTTTCACACCCCCTTCCAGTCCGGACACTTTCACCCCCTTCCAGTCCGGACACTTTCCCCCCTTTCAGTCCGGACACTTTCACCCCCTTCCAATCCGGACACTTTCCCCCCCCTTTCAGTCCGGACACTTTCACCCCCTTCCAGTCCGGACACTTTCACCCCCTTCCAGTCCGGACACTTTCCCCCCCTTACAGTCCGGACACTTTCACCCCCTTCCAGTCCGGGACACTTTCACCCCCTTCCAGTCCGGACACTTTCACCCCCTTCCAGTCCGGACACTTTCCCCCCCTTCCAGTCCGGACACTTTCCCCCCTTCCAGTCCGGACACTTTCCCCCCTTCCAGTCCGGACACTTTCACCCCCTTCCAGTCCAGGCCAGTTCTCAGCTTTCAGCGCTATCACACTTTGAATGACAATTGCGCGGGTCATGCAACACTGTACCCATATGAAAAAATTTTTACCATTTATTTGAGACAGATAAAGCTTTATTTTGGGAATTATTTATTCACCGCTGGGATTTTTATTTTTTTTGCTATGCAAATGAAAAAAATTCCAAAAATTTGGAAAAAAAAATTTTTTTTTTTCTTATAAAATGTTGCAAATAAATAATATTTCATCATAAATCTCGGCCAAAATTTATTCCGTTATCTTTTTAGCAAAAACAAAAACACAAATTAGTTTATAACCAAAAATTATAATTTTTCAAAAAACTTAAATTTTTTTTTATCTTTCTATATATTTTTTTTTTTTTTACATCCCGTCACCCTAGCAGTGTGGGGTCACCATGGTGACACTGTACTACTTGTGGGGGGTGATGAGGATTTTTTTTTTTCCTTTTTACACTGATTGCTTTTTATACCCATAAAGGCTGTAAGAGGAATCATTTCTCCTCTCTGGCTGCATTCCTGCAGCCATTGAGAAATACTGTGTGAGCTGTGATTGGTCACAGCTTGTCACATGGTACAAGGCTGCTGTGAATGGCCCTGTACCATGTGATCTCTGTGATCATTCACAGATTTCACATGTAGTAAGCAATGATGTCAGAAGTGACAACTTGCCAGGGGCGAACTGACCATTTGGAAACTCGGGCACTGCCTGAGGGCCCGGGGTCAGTAGGGGGCCCCATGGGATGCCCCTGGTACCTTTTTCATAGGCTTTTTTAAGTTTGGGCAAGGACACAGGGGCTCCATGATCCCCTATTGCCCGGGGACCCCATGAGTTTGTCAGTCCGCCCCTGCATCTTGCGTACTACTATGCATGTGATCACTGATTGGCCAATCAGTGATCACATGATCGGGACCTCACACAGAAGTCCCGTACAGCGATGGGTGTTTTCGCTGTATCCGGAGGACACAGCAGGCACTGGACCATGGCGCCGCGCGCTCCCGCCGTTTATGTACATGGGCTGGACGGGAAGGTTAATGGCTGTGAACCAAGTCGACTCAGTTCACAGGTACAGAGCTGATCCGAGTGGCTCTGTACCTTGGGGGTTGCTGTGATTGGCCATAGACTGAACAATTACAGTGAATACATACAATGTGTATAAAATGTAACTAATTATCACGCTTTATGTTTACCCCCCCTCATTACCAGCACGCCTCTCCATTTACAAAAACATCTCATGACTTTGGGGTGTTTACTTTCCATAAAGGGGTCCTTTGGGGGTCTCTGTACGGTCCTGGCATGTTTTATAGCAGAAATGAGGCAAAAGATATTTTTTTTAAATGTTCTTTTTCCCGTTATACAATAAAAATAGGAAATCCCGCAGAAATGGCGCTCTGTGTGTCAGATATATAGAATTCCGTGTCGGGTGCTGCGTGGTGGAGGAACTGTCAGTCAAAGTGAACAATGTCCGGGGCAGGAAGGGAGCACCTTGTGGGGATTGAGGCGGTTAAAGTTCGCTACGTTGTTGTTTCCACGACTTTCCAAAGATTGTTGTGTTTTTGGTGAGAAGGCGCGATTGCGTGGAAAGGTCGCGGCGAGGTGACGGCGAGGTGCTCAGGAGCGCCAGATGAGGATTCTGCTTTCTCAGCAAAATAATAAACAGAAAATGATTTGTGACAAGTCAGACGGGTGGATGACAGACTGCGTCCAGCTTTGGCCCCGCCCCTCTTCCTGATTGGCTGACACTGAGCATGGAAAGGTAAACACACCTTTTCAGGTATTTAATAAAAATACATTTTAGAACAGAATTTTAAAGCTCAACTCCAGACACAAAATGTTTTACTTACTTTCCCCTTTCTGGCTCCTCCCCTTCAGTCTTGTACAGGTGTACTTGTCTCCTCCCCTTCAGTCTTGCACAGGGATACCGGCTCCTCCCCTTCAGTCGTTTACAGGTGCACTGGCTCCTCCCTTCCAGTCTTGCACAGGTTTGTCAGCTCCTCCCCATCAGTCTTGCACATGTGTACCGGCTTCTCCCCTTCAGTCTTGCACAGGTGTACTGGCTCCTCCCCTTCAGTCTTACACAGGGATACCAGCTCCTCCCCTTCAGTCTTGCACAGGTGTACCGGCTCCTCCCCTTCAGTCTTGAACAGGTGTACTGGCTCCTCCCCTTCAGTCTTGCACAGGTGTACCGCCTCCTCCCCTTCAGTCTTGCACAGGTGTACCGGCTCCTCCCCTTCAGTCTTGCACAGGTGTACCGGCTCCTCCCTTCAGTCTTGCACAGGTGTACCTGCTCCTCCCTTCAGTCTTGCACAGGTGTACTAGCTCCTCCCCTTCAGTCTTGCACAGGTGTAGCAGCTCCTCCCCTTCAGTCTTGCACAGGTGTACCTGCTCCTCCCCTTCAGTCTTGCTCAGGTGTAGCAGCTCCTCCCCTTCAGTCTTGCACAGATGTACCGGCTCCTCCCCTTCAGTCTTGCACAGGTGTACCGGCTCCTTCCCTTCAGTCTTGCACAGGTGTACCGGCTCCTCCCCTTCAGTCTTGCACAGGTGTACCGGCTCCTCCCCTTCAGTCTTGTACAGGTGTTCTGGCTCCTCCCCTTCAGTCTTGCACAGGTGTACCGGCTCCTCCCCTTCAGTCTTGCACAGGTGTACCGGCTCCTCCCCTTCAGTCTTGCACAGGTGTACCGGCTCCTCCCCTTCAGTCTTGCACAGTTGTATCGGCTCCTCCCCTTCAGTCTTGCACAGGTGTACCGGCTCCTCCCCTTCAGTTTGCACAGGTGTATCGGCTTCTCCCCTTCAGTCTTGCACAGTTGTATCGGCTCCTCCCCTTCAGTCTTGCACAGGTGTACTGGCTCCACCCCATCAGTCTTGTACAGGTGTACCGGCTCTGCCCCATCAGTCTTGCACAGTTGTATCGGCTCCTCCCCTTCAGTCTTGCACAGGTGTACTGGCTCCTCCCCTTCAGTCTTGCCCAGGTGTACCTGCTCCTCCCCTTCAGTCTTGCACAGGTGTACTGGCTCCTCCCCTTCAGTCTTGCACAGTTGTATCGGCTTCTCCCCTTCAGTATTGCACAGTTGTATCGGCTCCTCCCCTTCAGTCTTGCACAGGTGTACCGGCTCCTCCCCTTCAGTCTTGCACAGGTGTACCGGCTCCGCCCCATCAATCCTGCACAGTTGTATCGGCGCGCTGGGTTGTGGCGCACTGCGGTACGTTGCACTGTACGACGTGTGGAGATACAGAAATGCCGCACACCCCGGTGTAGGGTATCTGGGTTCTGTCGCATCGTACAGGAGTGTCGCATCGTACAGGAGTGTCGGATCGTACGTACAGGAGTGTCGGATCGTACAGAAGTGTCGGATCGTACAGAAGTGTCGCATCGTACAGGAGTGTGTCGGAGTGTCATCGTACAGGAGTGTCGGATCGTACAGGAGTGTCGGATCGTACAGAAGTGTCGGATCGTACAGAAGTGTCGGATCGTACAGGAGTGT